ATGGGATATTAAAAAATGCTGCGCAATACGAACAACAGACGTTGAACGATTCATGAAACAACATTATTTATAATGGGTCAAAAATCACTTGCCTTCTCATAAAAGTGATTAAAAGCTTAGCGCATAATCCTTCTTCGTCAAAACGACTGTTTCCCCTTTACTTGATATAATTTATATAGTTTTATATAGAAATTAATAATTAAACCAGCTGTTCGCCACTTCAAAAGTAACGGCACTGGCGAAAAATATATAAAAAGGAACCGATTCCTCATAAGATTTCACATTCTTATTGAGATCTCATTTCTGTGCGTACAATTGGCCCCCGTCGTACATAAAGACTCCATAGAAGTCGTATATAGATTATCTTTAAAAATTTATTCCTTAAAAAAAGAAGAAAAAGATAACTGAATCCATGCACTTGGCGCAAAAACTATTCGTACATGGATATTAATATACATCTCGTAATACAATAAAATACGTAACTTCGTTATTTCATTTTGTTCATATGTTCTACGTGAAAGACGTCGAAGATTTCAAAAATTGTATTTCCCTCTCGTTTCTGATAGTCTCGAATATGAAATATTTTATAAAATCTGCAATAAAATAGAAATTTTTTTAATATACACGTTTCTAAAACAACTTGTAAATAAATAAATTTAAAATAGTATACAAACAAATATGATCAATATATCTAAAAGCATCTCACATTCAAGGCCAGACCATTATTTTCTTGCATTCTTTCTTCGTGATAAGGTTTCCTTATGCTTACAAATTTCCATTTCATCGTGCTTTTTGTATCGCTCGAAAACTGTATGCGCTTTTTCTATATTCATTAATATCATGTACAAGGTATGATTGAAAAGTTTGGGGATTTGATTAAAAAAGAACGTGTAAAAAAGATCAATGAATCACAATAAAAGAACTCAAAAATGGTTGGTACCGAATCAGAATACAGCGGAATAGTGTCAATGAGCAGGACAAAAGAGAAACTGGAAAGAAATTGCACAAGATCTTCTCAACGCAACTGTGCATAGAAAAGCACAGCTGTTACACTATGACAATAATGTAAGGCTACATACGACACTTCTTGTCTATTTTTGGCCCAAAATTTCTTTCTTTCTAGCAATCATTATATTCGTTTGCTTTCAACAAACTTTTATCCTATTTTAAGAAGAAGCAAGAAATCATTGACAAACCAACGAAAATACTAAATTCAACTCCAATTTTAGTTAGATAACTTTTGAAAACTGGAAGAGAAGATCCCAACTATTTCAACGACTAGTAATTAAAATATTTATGAACAATCGCCAAACCTTCTGATCATACCTTGTAAAATTTCAGAAGATTGTGCATCTACATGTATTAAGCAGGACCTGGCTAGAGACATTGTTTTTCGCTAGGTATTGTGGATGGGCAAGATCTATATGCGATGAGAGTGACGCTACCCTTTCACTAGCAACGGATGTGTGCACAAAATCTGAAACGATTTTCTTTCGCGCAAAAGATCTCGCCTCATATTATGCTCAGGTTGCTGCTCCACAAGACGAGGTTTGTGCAAACTATAGGTGGAGAGGTATCTGTATAACGACGCATCAAAGCAGCACAGATGTGTGACGAAAATCCGCTGCTCGCTCAAACTGGATGGTCCCGGGTGGCTCGTAGGCTACCAAATTTTGATGCCCCCGCTTACAAACAAGGCATCAAAAGATCCACGTCATTAGTTGCAGCCAATGCAATTCAGGCCTTTTTTCATAAGAAAATATCATTTCCGTCATTAAACAAAGAAGAAGTGGATCATTCACGATCATGTACAATAAACGAAACATTTCTGCAATGATTTCCAACTAACAAATGGCTCGCTACACTGAACACCAAAAATGTGCACTTTAACGTTTGCTATGTGGCGCATAAAGTTTTAGACGCTCGATAGTAAATATACGTATATAATCTTCTGATTTCCCATGCGATATCAAGTAAATACATATTTCTGTCTACCACAGACTTCGATGCGCTTAATACTTTTATCAACGATAAGAAATATTGCGCTTATTCTCGGTAAGAATATCAATTATTCAAGGTAAGACACCTTAACATACAATAATAACATTTTCAATTTCGAGCCAGAAATGTCTGTCAAAACGTTGTTCGCATTATGTTCGCGTTACGAATATAATTCCTCTAAACTGACTAATCATTCATAAAACCTTCGAATACGTAGAAACATAACTGTCCGTCCTGATGCGATCCATTGTGAGAATATTTGAATATTCTTGTCCATCCGAGGATGTAGTAACGTTAACGAAACGTGTAAATAGTTACGTACATATTGAACACTGTAATCATTCCGTATCGTATAAGAGAAATAGACTTTACAGGTGTCT